GATTTGCCGCGGTGATGATTTCACTTGCGGAGATCAAGTGCGAGAGGCGTGCCTCGAGGAAGAGCGCCGGTGCCGTTGTGAGAAGTACTCCTGGCACGGCTCCTCCTCCAGGCCAGGAGCTGAAACGATTTACTTTTTTCTGACGTGGCTGTGGCTCAAAAAAAGAAGCATAAACCTTGGTAAATGGAACCAAACCCAAAACCTCGTAAATATTTGCCCTTCTTTGATTTTGTTTGCCACACCCGAATGGGTATCGCTCAAGGTACATGGGGACCCGAGACTTCCATTTGTTGACCCACCGCCAAATGGTCGCATGGTGTCCTTTCGGTCAAGTGCTCTTGGATTTGAGAGGGCATTGCAAACAAGTCCTTCAAGGCTGCTAACTTCCATTTCCATTCTCTCCAGGGATCCGAGTCTCTCTGAAAACTACCCAAAACCGTGGGGAACTGGCAATCGGTTTTTGAAAAGAACGATGGCTGAAAAGAATGGAAAAGAAATCAACCCCTAGAAGGCTATTCTCTGAGACCTTCGAATCTTTGGCCGCCGGCGATCTCGCCTTGGAAGACTGGCTGCGAGAAAATTCCGAGCTCTTCCCATGCTGCCTGAACTGCCAAGAGGCAGAAGAGCAATTCGAGACTCTGGTGAATTCTGTTGGTTTGGCCCTGGTCATCTTTGGCATCACTGGCGTGCTGGTTTTCTCCATTTTGCTTCTGCTTCCCAGGCGGATTCCACGCTTGACACCTGCGGACCTCAGATATTTTGAGGCTCCCGAGCTGCTGGCAAAACGGGATGGGGCAGAACTGCACGAGAAGATTCCGCGGCACATGTGGTGTGTGAGCCTGGAGGCGTGGCGGTGTTTTGGCACATGTTTCAAAGCTTGAGGTTTAGGGAAAGAAGACATTCTGTGAGGCCTTTGGAGGGTCAAAGTTTGGGGGGTCACAGGCCCTCCCAATTATTTGGCAATAGGGAAAGCGAAGATATATTATGGTAAACAGTCTATTGTGGTTTGAACATGTTCAAAGGGGCTGACAAAGCCTGCGAAAAGTTGGTCGAGTTGTTTTGCGAACGTCTTTCTGTGGGTGGCCGAGGGCATTGCTTTCAAGCCAAGTAGTCATGGGAACCAATCACATTGGTATCCCATTTGGGCGTTTTGGAAAAGCCCCCTTTTGCGTGGTACTTTAAGGGAAGCAAAAGGAAATCAACAGTTTTAACGGGCCACGATTTCGAGCAGCAACCGTGTACAGGATTTGCGGCAGTTCCGGCGGCTGGTGATGCATGCAGTTGCCCGAGGCCAGATTCAACCGACGGAGAATGACAACTTCGAAGCAAGTGATTCTCACTTACGAAAGCGAATCGACCTGATATGACCTTTTAGTTGCCCTAGCTCGCTTGCCAAAAGCGAATCGACCTGATATGACCTTGTGGTTCTTTACGGTTGTTGTATGTCATGAGCCCAAAAGGTGAACCTTTGATGTCTGGGTGCTTTGGGCTGAGCTTGTTGGTAAAGGTTACGGGTCCAAACTGGCATCTGAAACGAGGATTTGGTCATTGGCCCGTCGGTTTACACGGTGACTGAGCAGTTTGTCAAGCCGTTGACCGCAGCCGCCGGCAAGATGAGCTGGGCGTTGCTCCGGAATCCTGAAGGTGAGGGTTGTAAAATCGGGGGATCCGCAAAAGGACCCAAGACTCCCGTCAAGGAGAAGTGCCCCTAGGTCTCAGTAAGGAATGACCCTAGGCCTCCGGGAATGAATGAAGCCAGGTCCTCAAAAAAACCACGAGTTGGAGAGTTTCAACTGGTGCCATGTCTCATTCCCGTGTTTCATCTCTCGCACAAATTGGCCAGTGACAAGGTTTGCGCTGCGATCTCTTTGTGACCCATGCCTGGGCAGAAGGGGTCTATGAGTTTATTGACAAGGTCGAGCGGTCGTGGCCTCGGGGTGCAAAGGCCGCATATGTTTCACGGCGCCGGAAGTCAGTGCTGGCAGCTTTCTTTTTGGGACCCTTTTGGTTCTTCGCTCTCGTGACATGGATTTACCTGAACCCTCAAAATTCCATCTTCAAAATGGGTTTGACCCCCAGAATTGTGGTTGGTGATCTCCCATTTTTATGGGAATTGTTTGAGGGTCCAGGTATATGGATTTGCTTCCCTTTTTGGTTACCCTTTATGGATGCTGGCAGAGGGAAGCCAAAGAAGACCCGCCTCCCTCCCGTCTCCCACCATTTGATTTGTTTGTTATTTTGTTTTTTTCCTTTTGAGGGGCGTGATCCAAATTTGGTTGTTCTGCAAAAAAGCAAATCCTTGCGGAGGTTTCTTTCCGGCCGGGCCAAGGTTTGCTTCTTGTCAAATCCTCAGAACCTCGACATTTCCAGCCTATTGACTTCTCCGAGCGCATCACCTTTTGCACTCGCCCTGGAATCGGCATCCACTATGTCGCATTGCCGGACTTGTGTGGGTCTTTATGGGTTTTCCTTTCTATTCGTGGCTTTTTGGGGTGGCTCGAGTAAAAACAACAGGAACACCGAAATCCATGTGGGGGTCCAAATCCAAATTTTCCCTTTGGTTCTATGGTTGTCAGGCCGCCCCCCCCCGCCCCCCGTCCAACTCGGTCACAGGCTGTTAAAGAATCTGGAGGCGAAAGCTGTGTCACACGTGTTTTCCTCGGCTTTTCTGCAATTTGTCAGCTCTGGCTCATGCTTGGCAGTGAACGGGAGGATTAGGACAGCATCGTTTTCATGCATAAATGGTCAAAACCCAATGTTTTTTCATAGTTGCAGTTCCATTGCCCGAAAGTCAGAACCAACAAGCTGCATCCAACGATCACGGCTGAAATCCTGCTCAATGGGAAGCCGATGCCTCCAAACAAGCTATGCATGTAGCGAAACACATTAGAGTGAAGCTGGGTTGTGATACAGTCTTGCAATGACGGCCACCCTCTGTCCATACATTGAGTCCCCACTATGAAGCAAGCGAGTCGTTTGCGTGCTCTCGTCACAGAGACTCTTCTAGCAAGCTCATGTTTGCTGGGATGGACATTGGAGAGCGACGCCTTTTGCCAGCATCTGCAACCAACATTGGCTCATTGGCCATGCATCAACCTGCGTGCACTGGCATGTGTGTTCGTCCCCCGCTCACAACTGCAACTCGACACATCACAGCCCAAAAGCAGCAAACAGCAAGAAAAGCACCAAAAGTCAGTACCAGGTTGTTGTTTTTTTTACCAGCCTGTTTCCTCCAACTAGGCCCTTAACTAGGCCATGTTAGTCTAGCAGCCCTTATTGGGAAATTTGGGAAGCCCCTTTTGTTTGGCCTTTGACAACCACTGCTTCCGTTTGCTCGAGCATATGTTTTATTTTCCACTGTTGGTCTAAAAGGGAATCGATTTCACTATTGAACGTATGTTCTCATTTGTCCAAGGATTCGGAACCCCACCAAACGTGTGGTTTCGTTTTGACTTCCCTTTCCATACCATCCAAAACGGCTAGTCTCAGAAAAAGATTCCTGAACCCCCAAACAACCATTTTAAAACTTTCGGGTATTGCAGGCCCCAACATTAAGGTTGGCGGTTTCCCTTGTTTAAGGGTGCTTGGTGTTCGGCCAAGTTGGCAAGTGGTTAGCCACCTGGCTTATAACCCACCGACTGGGTGAACCGCTATAAGTGGGTTATGACCTCTTACTCACTTGGCGAATCGCAGACCCAAGTAATTTGAGGGTCGATTGGAACGGATCTGCTCAGCCAAGGTTGGTCATTCCCAATGAACGGGTCAGCCTCTACACGCGTCTTTGGTGCCTCAGACTGTGTAGTGGTGTCCGGTTTCTCTGTGTTTTCGGAGGATCTCTTGTGTAAAATCAGCCAATGTATTATTTTATTTGCAAAATCAACAACACAAACAACGGTTCCCTTGCATTCCCATATCCTACAGAAAGATGGTTTGCCCTTTTTGTCTCATGGGCAAATCCACGACACAACTCTGAGGTGCGTGTATGAAGCTTACTTGGCCTTCACATGCTCCAAGAACATTCGAACGGCTGAGGGGCTGAGAGGTGAAGAGCGGCTATGCACCTCGGATGTCGTTTGTTAGATGAGCGGAACGGTCAGTACTTGGGGGGTGCCTTTGTTGTAGGACCCCCAAAATCGTGGCCTTCCTTTTAATGTCCCAAAAACAACGACATCCTTCCCTGTGTTTTCTGTTCTAGAGTCAATCTTGCCAAGGAAAAAACAGTTGTATTTGGCAACCATGCATTAGTCCAACTGGGGTCCATCTTGACTTTGTTTTTACATTTTGAAATTTGGTTTTTTTACATTTTGAGGTACATGAAATAAATATGGACCAGAATCAAGCATATCTGGTTGGGGGGGTGGAAATGCTGAGGCCGAATATGGTCCTCAAAGCCTTCATCCATGGTCCCCTCTTGGCTGTTTAACGCTTGGGCGTTTGCTTCTGTGTTTTTCTTTACAGGGTACATACTGTGAGCTTTGTGATACCGACAAGTTGAGCTCTATACTCTTCGGGATGTGCTTAGTGGCAAACGGTTTTGACGTGTTGGCCAATCCACGGAAGCGAGCTGCAGTGGTTTTACGGTTGACTTTACCAAACACATGGCCATGGGTCAAAATCCAAATCGTAGCCACAGTGAACATCAACCAATCCAACCACTAACTTAGACTAAAATGGGTGGTGCGCTTACCCCAAAATGGGATCACATTGGTTTTGAACCACAGCCAAATCACTCAGCAAGGCATCATGCGAATTGGCTGTTGGTTCATCGCCGCGCTGGGTGGCTTAATGCTTCTGCGCATCCGCGGCATCTATGTCACGGACGAGCTACGGATGTTGACGTACCTCGTCATCGTCTGTTTTTTCGTCGCAGCTTGGCTGCTTTTGGTTGCGCTCACTTTCCCATACGTTGGAATGCCTCACATGAGTGTTTCTCAAAATGGGATTCGGCACCTCTTTGGATGGTCTTACGAGGAAACAAAAGGAAAGCAAGCGCCAAAATCACAATGATGAGTTCAGTGATCTTGCTCTTTGGTGCGGTGCCATCTCAACTTGTTGTTCACTCAGTTTGACAAAGCCGTGATCTGACCACATAACCACCATGTTCCCATGATGTAGCTAGAAAGAGAGAACGATCTGAAGGTCCACAACAATTCCCGTTCAATGAACACCATTCTCCTGGGTTTTGGTTCATTTTCCCGTGGGTGGGGGGGGGGGCGATATTTTATACACGGTTTGTTTGTTTCACGGTCAGAGCTTGGTTTCAGTTTGTCTTTGCCAGCGTCTTAACCTCTTGCCTTTGGATAAATCACTGGTGTGCGCATTTGTTCTTGCTGTCTCTCAGTGGGACATGATGAAATGCCCACTGAGAATAATCCCTTGTTTTTCTTCAAGGCGATTCCCTTGTTTTTGTCTTCAAGATATCTTTTCCATTTATTCCCACAACCCCCTGCCAAATAAGCTTTCTCCACGGATCAACCCGGTGGTGCAACGTTGGACTGGTAAAGGCTTTGGTTTTGATGCTTAGTTGGGTGCAAGTTGCAAGTGCTAACTCGGGTTGAGGCATTCTTTGTTCTTTGAAGTTGTTTGATTTGCTTCTTGTCGTTTCTCCCTGACTACGCATTCAACCCTTTTAGCTCAAATCCTAACTCCTGGTCTGCAGGTCTTAACCCCCGGTGGGCTTGCGGACGCGGCCAGTAGATTTGCTTTTGTTTGGGGGGGGAACCCTCCTTTGGTTGGTTTTAGAGGGAACCTAAAAGGAACACCAGGCATTTTGGGGGTTCCATAAACAAGATACACCCAAGTTTCTCATGGGTTGCAGGCCTCTTAGCTCAGGCACTGAGCCCGCCCCGCTTGTCCGAGCCAGTGAAGAAGTTGAGTGTCGTGCTGTGTTGCCTTCTTATGGCAGAGTCATCTTGGCAGCCTTTCATCGGCACCTATCCGTGGCCCCCCTGGGGGTCCATGTTCTACACGCTTTGCATCTTGGTGGCTTGCTGCTGTGTGGAATTCGACCGTCTGCGAACTTCCGACGCCTTCCACCGGAGCAGACTCTTGCGGAAGGGCTATTCTGGCAAGCTCACCGACGCCCAGTGCTCATCCAGCGCGGACAAAGAGAAAATCTACCAGGAGATTTTGGACAGCGGGAAGGGCAAGGAGGTGGAGGATGCCGTGAACGCCCTGTTGCGCATGAACGTGGTAACTCCTGAGCTATTGAAGACCCTTTCTTTGGCCGGTCAGCTGGGAGATGTTTCCTATGCCCGCTGGTCATTAAGTGCTCTGGGTACCTTTCAGTGGGCCTTCAGCCCAGTGATTTTGACATTGATGTCTGACGATGAAGAGTTCAGCATGGTTCATGGCATCCTCTTGGTGCAAGTCACACTGTGGCTGGCAATGTTTGCATGTTTTCCGCCAGAGCGGAAGACTTTTGCCTCCACTACCATGTCACTCTGGCTGTTTGTCATCCCCTTTATCGGCTCAATGCAACTTGCTGACCTGGCCTTGCTGCATGGCCGGACTTAGCTCACCGCTTTGCCTATTTGGTGTGTGATGCATTTTCCATGCGACAAGTTCTTACTTTTTGCCGAAGGTAGCGTCTAAGTCTGGCCCAGTTCTTGCCTTGCTTGAGGGAAACCAAGGAATACATGACCCATGATTATTATTATGATTTTATTTTTTTTACAGAGCCTTTGCGCAGATACCTTTACCAAAGCGACACCTAGTGCATGGGCGAAATCATGCACCACTTTGAAGCCATGGGAAACCGTTGTTAAACAGTCGGTATTTACAGGGGAATCGACTCATTCCAGAGTTTCTGAACGGTGGTGCGACATGGAATTCATCCATCCACTGTAATTACTTGGATCTGGGAGTTAGCTAAAGGACTAGTAGCCCTGGTTGTAACCCACAATGGTTGGAAGTCCCCTAGGGTTACTATATCCATTAAGCTAAGTCCCAGACCATCTAAGTAGCCAGTGAGTCAGACAGTCAGGCTGTCGGCGTGCGTGGGCCCGGTCTTTCTGGTCGTGTCCTTGGCCGGCCCGGGCCGCGTGGCGGAAGCTCCCTGCTTGGGCGTCGTGTTGGTGCAGTTCCTTGTGGGCGACTGGCGGCCTGGGATAAATATAAAGAGAGGGAAGGGAAAGTAAAACGCAAGGTTCCGGGAAAGAAAGAGGGAACCTAGGTCTTGTGAAAAACTAAAGATATATGATATATCAACCGAGGTCTTGTGAAAGAGAAAGATATAACAAGCACAGAGACTTCTTGTTGAGGGCTTCCTATTTTTTTTCAGTTTCTTATTGTTTCTTGTTTCTTTGAACAGAATGGGCTAAAGCGTTAACCGTAGGTGGTCGCTTGTCTTGACTCTTAATAAGTATCCACTTGGGCCACCATTTTGGCTCAAGTGGACCTTTTGATCTTTTGTCTTGTGATTTGAAATCTTTCTTTCCCCTACTCTCAAAGCCATGTACGCCCCCGCCTACGCTGGTGCCGCGGTAGCAGAGGCCAAGGCTAAGGCAATGGCCTCCATGGCAAAGTACCTGGCGAGCCTCGTGAAGAGGGAGGAAGAAGGATGGACCGTTTTGGCTGCTGAGGTCCCTCAGGCACCTGACGAGCGTTTCTTCTCCAGCGCAGAGGAGCTGGAGCAGGCCCCCCTTATCCCGGCCAAGCGCAAGGCAGAGGATGAGCCGATGGAAGATGCAGCCCCTGGGGTGGCGCAGGTGCCGAAGGCCCTGACACGCCCCCCAGGGGCGTTCCTGGAGCTCCTGAACCCGCCGGAGGAGGACGTGCCCATGCCTGGCGAAGGACGAGAAGGAGCTGCCGATGCCCAGGTCCCCCTCGGCTGCAGCCCGCTTGGAGGAGGCCCGCCTGGATGCCCGGGCAGACGCCAAGTGGCAGAGG